ATGGAGGAGGCAGAGGTCCTGGCTGTAGCAGGTCACAGCTGTCTGGCCTGGGCAGGAGGCCTGGGCTGCTGGGCTCCTGTGTCTGCAGGTGTGGGGCCCGAGGGAAGATGTGGGGGAGGAGGGGAGGCTTTGTCATCCTGCCCAGATGCACGTGCTCTGGGAGGGGTGGAGGGTCAAACTTCAGACTATTGACTTAATCCCTTGGAATGTCCTTTGCTCACTCTGTTCTTTGGACCCCTTGTGTTTCGTGGACTCCTTTATGGGCACATGTGTGGTAATTAACACGTGCAGTGTAGGTCCTGGGCCATGTGTGTGAGTTTCAAATATCCATTGATCTGGGCAATCCCGTCCTGGCTGCCCCCTCCCCTACTTCTCCTTTGGTCCTGGCTCTTGGAGAGAGATGTGGGGGTGTATACGGGGTGGGGGTGCACATGTGCACTCACACAAGTTCTGTGGATGCTGCCGAGGCATATCTCAGGAGAGGAAGAGGGCCCCAGACAATCCCTTTTGCTCTGAAATCTGCTTCCCGAGGCTGCAGGAGAGATGAGGGCAGAGTCTTCGTTTTCACTGGATAGTTGGAAGGAAGGTCGCTGGGAAGCAGAATACTTTCAGAGGCCATGTGCTTGTCCTGAGCACTGTTGCCTGACTGTGCTGAGAGGCCTGTGGGTTTTCTTGACAGGCCTCTTTTCAGGGTCATGATCGCAGGTGATTTGAGGACCTTCTGGGACAGCTGAACACAGCATCGGGTGATGGGCCTGGCCATTGCTGCTTGTGAGGGGCCATGAGGGAAGGTCTGAGCCTCAGGTAGGGTAAAGAGGAGTGGTGAAGAGTGAGAGAATATGGGACCATGCTTGTACGATGCTTTCTGGCCATCCAGGAGCTTTTGCCTTCTGATGTCCCAAGCCTCTGAGGCCCTGGGGCAGGTTTGAACAACAAGTGAGAGTTTGGGGTCATTGGGGGTTTTCTACAGTTCACCTTTTTTCCTGTAAGAGGTCTGAGAGTTCATTGTTGAAGAAAAGTGAGAGGGAAATAAAAACATGAACAAATCGCTTAACTTTTCTGCATAGACTTCCGTGTTTATCCAGCCAGTCTTGGAGCAAGGCAGAAGTTCCAAACTGCAGCCCACCTTTAATTTGTGGAGACTTAGAAAAAAAAAATCTCCTTCTGGCTTTCCATAGTATGTGCTCTAAGTGAAGAGTGAGTCACAGTTATTTCTCCAAGGTCCCTGTCTGTCGCTATTTTTAGAGCTGGGTCTGCAGGTTGGTGCCAACTTGGAGACCTTGTCACCCCAGTGATGGATGGAGCAGCTTTGAGGGCCAAACTCAGGACCCGGGCAATAGCTGGTGTCCCAGACAAAGAGGACATGGTCCTAGCCTCAGCCCCCATGGGGTGTTGGCGCACCTGGAGGACAGGAGCTGCACAGTCCCCCAGCATGGCTATCCAGGGATGTCCTACAGAAGGACATCAATCCTGGTCATGTGGTGTGAGCCCTCTCTCAGCTCTCTTTTTTCTCCTCTCTGGGCACCCGGGGGACAAAGGGACTAAATCAGCAGTCAGTCTCTTAGTATCACCATCAGATGGCAAAGATCTGATTGCATCAGCTGGGCTGGATTTGCATGGAGATGGGTGGTGGGCAGGCTCTGTGGTGCCTGCTTCTGTGCACATTGATTTGAATGGTGGAGATGTTCTCACTCTGGTTCTGTACTGCCCAAATGAAACCGTGCCTGGCTGGCTTCACACCGTGAGGGAGCCCTCCTCCATCTACACATAGGTTGCTGTTGCTTTCTGGGGCTCCCAGCCATCTCAGTCCAGCCTGGCCCATCTGTATACCTGCTTTGCAGAG